TTTAAAATGAAATCTTTAAAATTATACTTTGAAATGTATAACTTTAAGCAGTTTCCAATTCTAATAAAAACTGACCCACAACTGAGCATGCAAAAAATGACAAAACACCCTCCCAAATACAGCATTTCTAAGTGAAAATGCTTATAATACATGTTATAAGCTGGACATGGCATTCAGGAGGCTGAGGCAAAGAGGTTCAGGGGTTCAGGAGCAGCTGAGGGGCGCAGGGAGACTCTGTGTATTAAAAAGAAAATAAAAATTAAGAAAAAGGGGGGAACTGAGTTTGAGAGAACTCTTAAGAGAGTTTTTACACTGGACAGTCGTCCACCGATGTGCTCGTTGCCAAAGCTGCTGCAGGTGTCTGTGCCTTGACTGCCAGAAGAGAGGGCACCTGCCAGTGCCTTCACCTGTAAGCTGGGCGCCACTCAGGGCAGGGGCCATTAGATGGGACTGTTTTTGTGAGTTTCAATCATCTACTGATTTTCATTAGCTTTGTCTGGGTACCTCAGGGTAATGGTTGCTCAATTAAAAAAATCTCCTCTTTGCCTTGCTACTTGATCTGGTTAAACTATTGCTTCCTCTCTCTCTCTCTCTCTCTCTCTCTCTCTCTCACACACACACACCCCTCACTGAATCAGTTCAGTAACAACTGACCAGTTGTTCACCTACTCTTGAGTTTGTCTACGTTAGTAGACATGGAATAGTAATCCAGTTGTAGACAGTAGGTATTTAGAAAATATCAAACATTTATAAATAGTTCTGGGAGGGATCTATTTTTACTGCTTTTCTGTCTTATAACAAATGTGCCCTGGTCTCTATTCTTCTACACACAATTCACCATCATTAACATTTCTCTTCAACCCACTAAAAAGTCAGAGCAACCTGCACACAAGCATGTGCGCACGCGCACGCGCGCACACACACACACACTCACATACACTCACACGCACGCACACTCACACACGCACACACACACACACACACACAAATACTTTACTTAAAATAGTGAAGTAATTTTCACAAGTAGTTAGTTTTGAATCTTCTAGTCTCTTTTAAATGTATTTTGAAGGGTAAAATCACTTCTAAAAGATATACTTCAGACCATTATATATAAAAGTCTTTTCTAATTTCACCTCATCTATCAAAAAACAACCCCAGCTAAACATAAGGAGACACACAACCCCTAAAGGGTCTCTTACTGGTCTTCTCATTACCTTATAATTGCAAATAAACATTGTTAATTTTTGAAAAGCACAATGTAGCAAATAGACTATGTATCAATTCTCTTTTAGAATTAAGGTTTATTTAAATACTTCTGTAAATTGCTACCTTACAATTTAAAATTGATACTATTTGGTGAATTAAAAAAAAACAAGCAAAACAAAATATATTCTATTTGTAACCCTCATTCGTTTTTAATGCTTAATAATATGTGAATAGTTAAATGCTGGCCTCATAAACATTTGAAGACTACATTGTTATCTAAATACCAAATAATATTTTTCTTTACCATTTCTGTTCTAACCCTAATACTTATTTCTTAGAGATCAGGAAAATGTGTGTTCTCTAGAACATAAAAAAAAAAAAAAAAAAAATTACCTTTTTAAAAATGGGCTACTGCAACTTCAGAGCTAAATCAAAGTGACTTTACAGTTTTATTTCATATGTGACATGTATTAATCTAGCCACATATGTAATTAAGTCTAGCCATTAATTTCTAATTCAACAAATTCTTAAAATGCAACAAAGTCTTAAAATACTATATAAGATTTAAAACTAATAAAGTCTTTTTGTTTCTAGAAAATCAAAAACTAATGCAGAAAAAGCCTTTGTTACAGGGAAGGCTTGAAGTTGGGTGGGTTTTCGGGGGGTTGGTATTTAATTCAGCTATACACAATGTAGTACATACAAGCAAAGTACAATTGGGATACTGTTTTCTTTAGCATTCCTATAGGAGCCCAAATTCATTTGCATTGGAGAGAAGACAATTACTGATTTTTAACTCATGAAAGACAGATTCATAGCTTTCCCTACACCACCTCAGAGACCCTGACTGTCCCCCTGGAAAGCAATCATCATTCAGCCACTTCCTACAAGTGGGTAGATGCTTTTTTTTTTTTTTAAGTTCTGTTTCTCACAGAATCATTCAACTTTTGAGACAAAAGCACATTCAAGTTAATATGTCTTAGAAGAAAACAATTTATACAATATGTGTACCTGTGTGCATACATATCTTTTTGGAAGTGAACTTTCAGCAGTACCCAAAGTAACATTTCTATCAAGGAAGTTTCCATAAGTTTTAACAGCACTTTTAAAAGTATCATTTTTTTTTCTCTTTACTAAATCTTTGACCCACTGGTACTATATGAATATAGGAAAAAACAAAAAACAAAGATTTTTCACTCAGCAGACGGAAACCAAACAGAATGTAAGAGAAATAGATGATGTACATAGCTTGCTGTAAATTAATTTGTATTTAAGAAGGATGGAATATATGTAGCAAAAAGAAAAAGAAAAACAGCAGTGTCTAGTCTGTCTACTATGTAACCATGGGTATAAAATGATGCTATGTGATTTAACAGAAGACTCAGTAAGCAAACAGCATTCCAGTAATTCCACAAATAAAGATTAAAACATCTTACAAACTATCATTAACTTAAAAAAAAAAAAACCCTATTTGGGATATAGCTATTAAAACAGCTCCCTGAGAAATCAATGAACCAAGCACAATATTAAAAAATTAGCACTCAATTGTTGAATCATTTTGCAAGGAAGAGAAAAGAACTTGTTTTCCTCCAACTCTAAATAACTCAAACACCACATATAGAACTGACCCAATGTTCACAAATTTACTTCCAACTTGTCAATTTGCATTGAAACATAACAGAAGAACAATAAAACAATCACTGCATAACATGAAGGCTCTGGTTTAAATGTTATAGTACCCTGTCTTTTTGTCTTGTTTTGTTAAGCCACCAGCGCGGTTGTGCACATAATTCTGTAGCATTTACTGATGCCTTGGTCCCAAAGGGTTGAGCTCAGCTAACCAATTCCAACCAGTTTAGCCTTCTGCTTGGAGGTAACTTTTGCATTTGAAACTACTAAAGGAAAAACAAAAGGGGGAGAGAGGAGGGGCATGCTGGTGCCATTCTCTGCAGCTGGCTGCCTCTGCAGCTGGCTGCCCATGCATCTGATGTATGTTCACTGTCTTCAGGTGCAGCCAATCACGGAGTGCTCTCGGCTTCCTCCTGGTTATTTCATACCACCAACACGTTCAAAGGAATCCCTACACTGTTTAACTTATACTAAAACTTGTGACCTGGCTACTTTTGAACTCATATAAGCAGAATAAAAATCACTAAAGTGACACTTCGGTCAGAAAGCCTCTAAATTTTAAAAGAAAAAAACAAAACAAAACAAAACACTAAAGTGATGTTTTTGTTTTGTTTTAGGTGATTGTAATGACTTAATAAACTAGTATTTCACTTATTTTGAAAAGTAAATAATATACACTGCATTGTGGAATAATGGGATAGCAAATAACCTCGGTTTTAAAAAATCTGACTTTGGATAACTTTAATCTCCAGAATGATTCACAAGAGCTAGACAGCCAACAGAATGAGATATTTATAAATGCATGGTGCATTAAACATTCTCAGTGGTTCTAATATTATTCATCAAATCTTCAACTGTTGAGAGATGAATAGTTTAAACTTTACAGTAAGTACTTAGAAACAAGTAAAAAAAATAATGGTATTGAAGGAAACCATATAAGCTTAAGATACTTAAGATACTACAGAGAGCCTGTTTTACATTTTCAGGATGAGGATCCGTTCAATATAACAGCCCAAACTGCAAATCATAATTCTTAACTTTTCAAAAACAAAAGTATTACACAGTTTTTTAATGTGGCACAATCATGTCCAAACAGATTCTGTTACATTAAAATGTATGTGGAAACATGCACACAATGTTTTAAAAACTCTGCAACACATCCAAGTATTTATAAAATTAATCTGCTTTAAAATGTCCTTGATCCTGACAAGAGTTTGAGCATCTACCTCAGACTTTAAGGTGGAAAAATCAGACTTAGCCTCCCCGGTTCAGATACTTAATAACGAATGGCAAAGAAACATTAGTTAATAGGATAAAAACTAAGTTAGGACACGTGGGGTGGGGGAGCAAGAATAAAGGTCCCCAATTTAAAGTCCACAATGAACTTTAAACAATCATTCTTTCATAGCAAATCACTGGGGAAACCCAACCCCCACAAAGCGTGTTACTCCTTCATTAACAATAGCTAACTATCGACTTAACCGCGACATTGTTTATTCCCCAACGTTTCTCTAAAGCAACAATAACAACAAAGTGCTGCGAGCCAAGCCCAGCGCCTCAGTTATTACAGTCTGGCTTCTCCCTGCATCCAATACAAACATGCTACTTCTTTAGAATACTATGCAGAAAAAAAAAAAACCAAAAAACCCTACTTATTTACTGAACGATTTTATAATTCATCCCTAAACTATGCAAAAAAAAAAGAGTAATTAATCGCATGGTTTAGTTAAGCAATTCAGCTGACACAGTAAATATTTACTCTTAACATCTCACAGGAAGTTTGCTATTGTACTGGGAGGTGGTGGGGAGTGAAAGGCAATTTATGATAAACAACTTAATCGGTCACAGCCAACTGAATCCACCTAGTGTTCTCCATCCCGACCCCTAATTAGGCATCAGTTTGCAAGCACAAAAAACACCTTATATAATGAAAGTAAAATAACTAAAACAAACAAAAAAAAAACCACAATAACTTTCTAAGCTATATACCTCCACTAACGAAACCAACAAAAGCCCCTTTATAAGCCATATAGACGTGTGTTTTTTTTAATTAAACTGACCATATACATTTATATTTTTTTATTTATTTGGTTATACGTATGAAAGCCCAATAGCGAGGGGGGAGGGGGAGAGAAAAAAAAAGAAACTAGGCAAAATATATTTACCTTAGCTTTTTAGAGACTGAGTAATCAACTTCCATGATTTTCCCATGCAATTCCACTTTACCTTTAAAACAGAAATTTAAAGCACTCAGAACCTCCCCGAGTCAGAGGCGCGAGGGTCTAGGAGGAGCACGCACGCCGCTCCACGCTCGGGCTCCGCCTTCTGGAGCCTTCAAGGGGTCCTCCACCCGGCCGCAGCTGGGCGAACTTAGCGCCAAGAGTGATGAAAAGTGGGCGCCACGGGTGGCGGGGCGAGGTGGGGAGGGGCGCGAGCCCGGCTTCCCGACCCCAGGTAGAGCCGTGGGTGGCATTACCGGAAAAACACATTTTCTAAAGAGCGGCGCCAATTTGAAAAGATGAGCTCATTTGAAACTCAAGCCGCGGGGCTGGCGCGCCTCGGTCTCTCGGCCGCCCCCCCACCGGCACCCCCAGCCCGTCCCCCCCGGGGACCCCCGAGGCTCCCGGGCGCTCGCCCCCCACCCCACCCTCCCCGCCGGCGGTCCCGGGGAGCCGCGCAGGAGCACCCCCGGGCTCCGAGGCTGCCCGCTCCAGGGCGGACACCCCCCCCTCCCCCAGGGCTCGCCCGCCCTCCCCGCCGCTACAGGTCCCCGAGGTAGGGGTCCCCACCGCGGGGTCGGGGGGTCGCGGGCCCCGGGGAGCGGGGCCCGCGGCGCGCGAGCTGGGGACGCGCGCGCGGGCCAGGGTGTCGCGCTCCGGCTCCCGTCCGGGCTCCGGCGCGCTCGCGGGGCCCCCCGGTCGCCTCTTTCCCGGTTCTCAGCCCGGGCCCCCACCGAGTTGAGACAGGGCACCTCGTAAAAAGGTGCTTCTGGCCGAGCAGGAGGCGGGGAGACGGAAGGCGAGAAGCCCCCAGCCCCGAGTTCTTCTTAATAAAATCGGACAAAAAAATCAGGGAAAAATAGGAGCGCTTCCGAGAGCAGCGAGAGAGAGAGAGAGGGAACTGAGCTTCGGCAAAGCGACCGAGGGAGATGTGCGGTCCCGCGGGGGGGGGGGGGGCCCTGGCCCCGCGAAGGCTTCAGGAGGGGGAGTCGAGGAGCTGCCGAAAGTGGGGGGCCGGGACAGAACGGGGTCTCGGGAGGCGTGCGGCTTGGGAGACGAGGGAGAACGAGAGAGGTCTCTGGCACGAGGCGCAGGGAGAAGGAAGGGCTGGTCAGGGGGAGAGGGGATGCTGGATTTGGGGGGGTCCCCCAGCCAGGAGGGGGGAATCACCAGAAGAGTCAAGGAGAAGAAAAACGGGGGGGTCCGTGTGGAGGTGGGGGCGGGGGAGCTCCGGGAAGCCGGGGCGCTCCCGGGGAGCTGGCCAGGCTGGGGACCCTCGGAGGGGCTCGGGGGTCGGCCCGGGGGTCTGGGGTTGGGCCCCGCGGTGGGGGCAGGGCAGGGCGAGCCGGCCACCCCGGAGCCTGCCCGGCCGCGGGAGTTCGCGGGAGGCCGGTGCGTGGAAGTGAGCGCGCGGGCTGGGGAGCCGCGGCGGGCGCGGCCCGCGGGGCTCGGCCCTCCCGGCCGCCTGCGTCCCAAGCCGGCGCGGCGAGGCGCGGCGCGGGTGCTCACCCGAGAGGGTCTCGATGGCGCGGATGGCCCAGTTCTGGTCGGGGTAGTCCACGAAGGCGTAGCCGGACTTGAGGAGGACCTGTCCCGCCAGGGGCAGCTTCCTGTCCCCGAAGAGCCTCCGGAGGTCGTCGGCGGTGACGGCCGGGCTCAGGTTGCCGATGTACAGCTTGTTCATCCTCCGCGTCTTCCCGAGAGCCCGCGGCTCCCCCGGCCCGGCACCCGGCGCTCCCGCCGCCTCCGCCGCCCTCCTCTCTCCTCCTGCGCCCGCCCCCGCCCCCACCCTCGCCCTCAGCCTGGCTCCCCCCACCGCGGCCGGCCCGGCCCGCCCGGGGGCAGAGGCGGAGGCGGGGACTCGGCTCGGCTGCCTCCTCGGGGCAGAGTCCGGAGCGGCCGGCCGGGCGCGCGGACAAAGCGCTCGCTCTGCCCGCGGGGGCCCGGGCGGTGGCGGCGGCCGACGCTCCCCGCGCGCCTGGGACTCGGACCGGCGTGTGCACCGCCGAGAGGGCGCGCCCTGCCCGTCCCGCGCCCGCCGCGCGCTCCGAAGGCTCGGCGCTCCCGGCGGGCGGAAGCGGGCGGCGGGACCCGGAGCGGCCGAGCGGGGCGGCGCGCGCGCGCGCAAGGTGGACCCGGCCCGGGCTCGTCGCGGGGACCCCGGTGAGGTGCACCCCGGAGGGGGGGGCGAGGGGGCGCACGCCGCGGCCGACAACTCTCCCGGCGCGCCCCGAGCCGTGCTCGGCTCTGCGGACTCGCCGCCAGCCGGGCTCTCGGAGGAGGGGGGCGCCGGCGCGTGCGGTCACCGTCCCGGGCCCCTCCCCTAGACCGGAGATCCGAGCAAAGTTGCCCGGGCGCCGGGCCTCGGTTTCCCCGCTTGGGGGGGGGGGCGGGGAAGGGGAGCCAGACCCGAGCCCGGAGGTGGCCGGGGGCGCTGGGGGAGTCGACACCAGGCTGAGCGGCCGGTTTCAGTCCCGGCTGGGTAGGAGGGGAGACTTGTCCTTCGACTTGCAAGGACGACGGGAGAGAGAAATGGGTCCTAGACCCTCTCCCAGGAAGGAGGCGGACGGGTTGCTGGGTGGCGAGCTAAGTCACGTGGCCCCGTGGGAACTCGTGGAGATGAAGGGCTACAGACCAGGAAATTGCAGGGATCCTGAGGTGAGGTGACTCTGGACTTGTCTGAGTGGCGACCTGGAAAGTGTTGGTTTTGGAGGGTGTTCGTGGTGGGAGGCGTGCCTGGGCGGAGATGTCGCCAAGGGCCATAGGGTAGAAGGCCTGTCTACTCCACACGCCCGGTACGTCCCAAAGTGTGGCAACGTCTCTGAGCCTAACTCTTACCCATAAAGAAAACAAAGCAACCACCCCTTGTGAGAGTGGCAAGAAATGTATGACACACTGCAGGTTTACTTCCGTTTCTTTGCCCAGAAAACCTAGAAGCCTAAACCTTTTTTTGGGGGGGAGGGGGGCGGGGGTGCTGCCCTTAGTTACTTGTCTTGAGAAGGAAATAACGACGTCTTTAGTTATGTTGGATCTAAGCGGGCCCCATAACGTTTGGCACGTTCTCCTCTGGATATTTACTGACATTTCAATTCCAGCTTTCGTCAAACAGTCACACATTTTCCTCTCTGGATCTTACTGCTCCTGGAACCGGGAGCAGGGCTGACAGATAAACCGACGAGAGATGCTTCCCAGCTAAAATGTGGAAGGAAACCACAAACAAAAACAACTTGGGTGTGCACGAATCCCCGCAGACTGGGAGACAAGCGTCTTCAGACGGCTTACACAAGCGCTCCTAATTAGGGCAGCCACCTTTGTGCAAAAGGTTGTGTTTGCCCATCTACAGGAAGTCGTAGTCGTCGCCAGCTACAGAAGACAAGGATCTGTCACCAGTTGGTGGTCTCCCTCTTAGGTTGCTTCACGTTTTCAAAAAGTTAAGTGCTTGTGACAAAACCATGGCTGGCCTGCCTGGCGGCCTACGCGGTACCAGCCCTGTCTTAGCATAGGTGGCTTCTGGTGGGACCTGTTTCCACCGTGGGTAGGATTACTTTCAAACTCCTTTCTGGGAAGTAGCTGCTCATGTTCCGTCCTGCTGTCATTTTGTAGTTCGTGCTTCATAAAGGAAACACTTGATTAGTAAACATGAAGCTCACTTTTCTCTGTACCTCTGTCTTCTTGACTTTTCTTGACGCTGTGACAAAATATTGGAGAAAAGCAGCTGAAGGGAAGAAGGGCTTGTTTTGGCTCACAGTTTGAGGATGCAGTCTGTCCAAGTCATATGGCAGTCACAGTCAGGACGCAGAGCTGACTGCTGGTGTTCATTTGGCTCTCCTTTTTATGTTGTCTAGGACCCCTGGCCATGAAATGGTGCCGTCTATATTTATAGTGGGTCTTCCCGCCGAAAACTAGCCACTCACAGGCATGCCCTGACACTTGGTGACTCAAAAATCTCATCAAATTGACAAGATTAAGTATCACAAGATTTCACCCCAGTTTTGCTTTCATCTCATAATAAAAAAATACATTTATTCCAATTCTAAAAGCCCCTGTAGTCTTCAAGATTCCTGACACTGAAAGTCCGGGGCCTTTCTAAAGACACAGGATGATCATTTAACTGAGAGCCACTACAAGGTTAATAAGCAAGCTGCCCTTTCCGGTATACAATGACACAGTCAAGATTCCCATTCCAAAGGGAGAAGGGCTGTAGCAAGGGGGAAAAAAAAAATCTGCCTAAAACAGAAGCAAAATGCCGCAGGGCAAGCAAGGTCCTGCACCCACCAGCTGTCTGGAACTCCTGAGGAATCATCTGGGCTCCAGCGGCCTTGGGTGGCCCTGCTCCTCCAGCTCTGCCACCTGCGGCAAATGGAGCCTCTCTCCGGGGCTAGCTTCACTTGACATGTGCAGCTTCCCTCCCTGGCTTTCCCACACCTTTACCGCCTCCAACGTTCTCAAGTCTCCACTGCACCTCAGGCTTCATCTTGCCAGAGCTCCACAAAATGGCCTCCCAGAGGCTCCCTACATGGACTCCAACCCTGCCACACACGGTCCAGCCTCACTGACTCTCTGGAGCGATGGTTTTACACTCTGTGGCGCCTCCCCTCTAAACTTGAATGCTTACAAAACTAGTATGTGTATGAGGATGGCAGGTTCTGGGATCAAGATGGAGCCTGCCTCCACAGTTCCCTCTTGGATCTCGGTTCCATTGGCCTTCGTGTTCTGATCCTGGAGAAACGCTTTTTTCCAAGGAGGTTTTTTTTTTTGTTTTTGGTTTTTTGTTTGTTTGTTTGTTTGTTTGAGTAAAGACCTCCCTCAGTAGCATTCTCTCCTTTCAGATAAGTTTGTGTTTTGGAGACCTTGAGAGTTGGGATCTTCCCCTAGAGTACCCCTCCTGCTCCAGCGCAGAAATCCAAGCTTCTAATGATGGCAGTGGTTCCTTAGCCACGGCCACTTTCAAGTCTGCCCTGTCTGTTTGCACTATTTCCCTCGTCAAACTTTAGGGTTTTCCTCTTTTTGCTTCCTCTAACTGTAGACCTGAACAAGAGCAGTAGACGGCAGCCGTGCTTCAGTTTAGGGGCTATCCTGTCGTGAAATTCCCTCCACCAAACACGTTAGTCAAAGTACTTTTGGATGCAGCCTCACCCACGTTCTCGGGACACAGTCAAGAGTGTTGGTAATAGAGCATGAATGGCCCCTGGCCCAAATCCTGACAGTTCTTGTCTCCTTGGAAGCCTCAGGAGCTGGGCCTCCACTGCCCACATTTGGCCTTCTAGTTTCCCAAACTCTCACCATAATGGCCTGTTAATGCCTACGGCATTCTAGGGCAAAGTTCTCCTATTGTCCAATTAATTCCAAAGTCTCACAAACCGTAGAGTCAGGATAATTATAGCAGGGGCCACACCACTGAGTACCAGTTTTCTCCACTAGTCACTTTTCTTGTTGCTGGGATAAGACACTGACAAATGCGGCCGAAGGACAGGTTTGTTTCTCCTCACGTCTTGAAAGCGCCGTCCCTCACGGCGGAGAAGGTGCGGCAGCTGGGGTGTGAAGGAGCTGCCCCCATTCTGTCTGCAGTCGGGAAGCAGAGAAGTAAAGGCTGATACTCACCCGAGTCCTCCTTCTGTACCTCAGGACGGCAGCCACGGAGAATGGTGCCACTCGAATCGAGGATGGCTCTTCCCTCCTGAAGCCACAGACGCGCCCAAGTGTTTGCTTCCCTGAAGATCCCAAATCCCATCATGTTGACATGGGGCCAACCATCACTGCTACTCTGCAACCGCCCCAGGTCTTCCAGGCAATAGCTTTTCTCTGGTAGGAAAGGGGCCGGAGAACCTTTGGAGACGGCTGGGGCAACCTAGAGGTCCTCGCTCCTGCCTGACAAAACTCACTCCTAGCTGTTTCTCTCGATTTTCCCCATATCAGCTCTCCCTAGAGAGCCAAAATGATTGCCACTTGGAGTTCCTGAGTGATCTTACAAACCTAGCAAACCATGATGAGAGTTTTGGATCAGAAGTTTGGGGGCATTCTTAAAGTATCCACATTTCTTTCTAAGGCCGATGTTCGCCTTTCCCCCAAGCATCTCAGAAGCAGTAGAGAACCTCACAGCGTCCCGTTGATCTCTGTGGCAGAGTAGAAGGAAGGTGGCCCCAGGCAATGTTTCCTAATCCCACTTTGCAAGTGGGATTGCTGAAGCCCAGGGAAGTTCACTGGCACTCACCTCACAGTCCACAAAGTACCAAGTCTTCATCCTGGGTTTTCACTACAGAAATATTTCTGCGTCTGGCCAGAGGTACGTTTTGATGGAATTGGGCCAGCGTTATAACTTTTTGAAGTGACAAAAGTATGGGGGGGGGGGTTCTCATACTAGAGGGTAACACTGTTTAGATGATGTGAGAAGCTGGAAGACAAAATGAAAGCACGCTGGAAGAGGGAGCCGAAGCCAGCACGGCAGTAACCAGGAATGCTGAGAGTGTCACCAGCATCTGTGTGTACTGTGGTGTTCGGTAGTGTCCCTTAGACACCTTCTGTGGAGTTGATGCAGAGGAAATTGTCTCACCATGGTTGAATTCCTTCACCTTGCTCTCGTCGGATTCCTCATTTGGGAAATAACTCGGGCATTTCCTCACAATAAACCCCACTCCCCCTGTACTTCACACGGTTTCCCAAAGCCCGTGCCTTCTCAGGACTCTGCCCCTTTGCATGTCCTGTTCCATTTCCCCGGAGTAACCTGCCCTTGAATGTTGCTGTTCCCTTTCCCCAGAATAACCTGCCCTCGGACATGCTGTTCCCTGTCCTGGAATGCATTTCTTCCTCCGTAGCCTCCTTCCTCCTCCCATCTTGGCACCAGGATATGTTCTTCACTTCACACAGATAAGAAATATCCTGGCTAGTAGTCATAGTTGCATGCTGCTGTAAATACGCTAAAAAAGTGCGTGTGTGTGTGTGTGTGTGTGTGTGTGTGTGTGTGTGTGTGTGTACTGGGAATTGATCCGAGGCAGATGTTCTACTACTGACCAATAGGGTGAGAATTCTGTCTCCGTCTTTAAAGCTTATTCAAGGTGCTATGGAGATGACTCGGTAGGCAAAGGTGCTTGCTGCCAAGGCTGAGGACCCACGTTTAATCCCGAGAACACACATGGCGGAGGGAGAGGACCAAGCTGTCTTTAACCTTCACCTGCAAGCCACAGCGTGACATACAAACATCCGTACAAATATTGCAATCTTTTCAGTCACATGAGGGAAAGTCTTCCCATTATACATTGTCTCGAGAGGAATGAGACTTTTGTCTTTTTCCTCTTTGATCCTCAAGCCAGTGTGAAACCTAAGCCAAGTATTACTGCTGAGCGGTCCTCTGAAGCCTCAGACTGAATGCAGGCATATTCATGTGGCGGGGCTTTCTTTTCTCCTCGTGTTGAACACACCATGTGTTCATTGTACACGGCAATAAGAATACACACCAGTTCAGCATCTTCCTGACCTGATGGGTTTACAGTCAGTGGGGCACACATGCACACGGACTTGCTATAGCTTTTCAGATGTAACAGTTTATTGGCAAACAGATGTCATTTAGCCTAGGCTTGCTGGAGCCATCATGGAAAAATGATGCTGGAAATGGGGTTTGAAGGATAAGTAGTCTGTCTTAGGGTTACTATTGCTGTGATGAAACCCTGTGACCAACAGCAAGTTGGGAGGGGACAGGTTTATTCCACTTATCTTCCATATCTCAGTTTATCATCAATGGAAGTCAGGACAGAAACTCTAGTGGGGCAGGAACCTGGAGGCAGGAGCTGATAATAGAGACTGTTGAGGAGTGCTGCTTACTGGCTTGCTCCCCATGGTTTGCTCAGCCTGCTTTCTTATAGTGCCCAGGACCACAAGCCCAGGGATGGAACCACCCACAGTGGGCTGGGCCCTCCTTCATTAATCAATAATTAGGAAAATGTCCTACAGCCTGATCTTATGGAGGCATTTTCTCAGTTTCTCAAAGGAAGGTCTCTCCTTTTGGGTAACTTGAGCTCGCATCAAGTTAACATAAACTAGGCAGCACAGTAGGGGTTTACTTGGCTAAGAAAGAGCATGAAAGGAATTATATATCATGGTGGATTGAAAGAACATGGGCCCTATAGGCCCATAGGGAGTGACACTATTAGGAGGTGTGGCCCTGTTTGAGGAACTGTGTAACAGGGGCTGGGCTTTGAGGTTTCATATGGTCAAACCAGGCCCAATGTTGCGTTTTCTTTTCCTGCTGCGTGCAGGATGTAGAACTCTCGGCTCCCTCTCCAGCACCATGTCTGCCTGCATGCTCCCGTGTTTCCTGCCATAAAGACAATGGACTAAATATCTGAAACTGTAAGCCAGCTCCAATTAAATGTTTTCTAAGTGTTGCCATGGTCATGGTGTCTCTTCACAACAATAGAACCCTAAGACAACATTGTAGAAAAAAAGAATAGCATGTAAGGGGCTGGAGAGATGGTTCAGTAGTTAAGGGCATTGGTTGCTCTTCCATAGGACCCTGGTTCAATTCCCCACACCCACATGGCAGCTCACAACTGTCCGAAACTCCGGTCTCAGATGATCTGATGCCAACTTCTGGGTCCTGCGGGCACTGCACACACATGCTACACAGACACGCATGCAGGCAAAACATTCATGCACTTCAGATATAAATAAAAAGAATAGCTTGTAAGGCTATGGAGACTGTCAACACTTAACCTCCACATCTGAAATCAACCACAGTGTGGAGGAGTGAGAAGCATAAATGAGAAGAGGAGAAGAGAAATAATAGAAACCAAAGTTCCCAGAACCGAAGGCAAGTTCTCCAGGCTGACGGGCCTTAGAAGTAAAGCATGTTGGTGGGGAAAACAGTGTACAAAGGATTTGGAAAGAGAATGGCAGTGTTTTGTGTTTGTTTGTTTGTTTTTGTTTTTTTGTTTTTTTTCTAAAAAGAAACTGGAGGGCAATGGGGCAGGGCCTGCACGGCAGAGGAGGAGATTATCTTAATCTGACATTTCAAATTTGGGCCAGTTGTGTGAAGTCA